GACTCCATCATGCATGTGAATAGGTTAAATAATCCTATTATTATCCAACAAATTGCTAAAACAATTTCAGAAGATTGTTTAATATTTCGGCAATTTAAATCCAAGCATTAACCATATAGTTGCAGGAAACGATTTAATAATTCAGCAACTAGCCTCCTAAGCATGCACAGATCAAAATTAATAATTAAATGACCTTATCATGCACTTGAATGCATTCTAAAACAAGTTTTATAAACACATTATATTCCATCAAATTGCTGAAATTTAATTCAATAATTAATTCAACTTCCATTTGTTAACAACATAGGAAGTGCCTTAATTTTTACACTGTTTGTCCCGACAATTTAGAATTAAACTTTAATCAATTTAGGGTCTTAATAACACTCAAAATTCATTCCTTAATCCCTCTGTAAAGTTCCAAATTCACTCAAACAGTCTCCATGCTCCAACAGTGAACATAGTACGTAGAAAATTAAAAAAAACTTAAAATAAATCAAAAATAAAAAGGGAGCCTGCTCTAAAATTTGGAGCAGGCTCTTTTTAGAGCCTAGAGCTGGCTCTAAACATCATAGAGCCGGCTCTTTTAGATGGGGGAGCCGGCTCCTTCCATTGTGGAGCCGGCTCTCTCCTCTTTGAGAGCCTACCGTCCGTCTGTTCTTCGTTTCAGTCCGCCTGCTCCTTCTCTGATCAAATCCTACTACTCTGTTGGTTTCAAAAACTAATCTTAGGAGTCTTAATTTAGTCTAAAAGCATTTCCCAAGATTGTTTACAATAATTTTGAAAGCAATTACAGAGTTTAATCAAGCCATTTAAACTAGCATTGTTGAAGAACGGCACTGAAACTAGTTTGCAACATCAGTTCTATCCCAACCCCTCTATTCTTCCTCCAATTTAAATTTGAAAGTCTTAAATTACATCTAGTATCCATTCAGACCTTGGTTGATTTCAGTAAGGTTCAAAATAAAAATTAGAACAGTGGGACGTTACGCCAAAAACAAAGAATAGAACACGTACCTAACATAATGGTTTTACAGACAAATTTTCACGGTTAAAAGATCCTCAAGTAAACATATACAAATCATGCATGGTTCAGTTAATGTCCAATTAATCCCCTAGAGGTTATCTAGGTGCACAGAACACAAGCTAGAGGGAATGAGGAAGATAAGAACTTGCCTGTGATTTCAATTTTGAAATCCCTGTGTCGTCTCTAAGTTTTCCGGCAATTCTGAACGCCGCCAAGCTTCCTATAACTCTGTCTTTAATCCTTACTCAACCTCCTTGGTCCTCTCTGTACAATTCCTCTTAAGCCTTACTCTGTTTTCCCACAACTACTCTTTGTTTCTCTCTCTGTATCTTTGGTACGTGAATAGGGTTTTCCAACCCTTGATACAGATTATAACCGTATATATATAAGCGTAAAAATCATAAACCTTAATCCGTGTTCAATCAGAGACAGAGCCCTAATTCTAAACCTAGTCGGCCCATGAAACTATCTCTGTTACGGCTTACCTATATGTGAAATTCCAACCCCAAAGTTAACTGTAACTCAAAACAGAATTAAATGAAAAAAAACAATTAAATAATTAAATCCACTTAACTAATTAATTCCAATTAAATAACCGAATTAAATTATTAAAAACACTTAAACAATAAAATGCCAATTAAATAATAAAAGATAACTTAATTAAATTTAAAACACATGACACATAGGTAAACAATTAAATCAAATCAATAAATAAAAATAATTAAACCAAATAATCACGCAAAAAAATACAATAAAAATAATAAATAAATGTCGAGACTATCCTTTTAAAATTAGGGGTATTACATCAACCCCATCAGGAATCTCATAATCCTTTAATACAGACTCAATAGAGAACTTGATGTGCCGAATAGACAAAATCAACTCTCTCTCCCCCTTAGTAAACACGCAATCTGACCTCGAAGTGGATACTTCAGCTTGTGAAGGGGAAACATCCATTTGAACAATTGAATCGTTCGTGAGTTCAACAAGGTCAGAAACCCTAAGGGGAGGGATCCTGATGAGATTGGGAGAAGAAGAGGGGTGGAATCCGAATTTAGGTCTATATGGTCGTGAGTGGATGAGGAACTCATGATATGAAAGAAACTAGACAAATGAATGAGAAACAAACCTGAGATTATGCTGAAATAATGAGCGAAGTAAACATTACAGGGTTAGGAATGAACTATGAATAGGCCTATTTGTCATAATGGCAACGGACACACCTCGAACCGTTTTTTAAAGAGTTGGCAACCGTGTAACTTCAATTCCCTTTTAATTAGGAGTCATAGTCCAATTAAAGAGGGAATTGGGGGCAAAGTGTGGAGGGAAAAAATCCCCCATCCAGTAAGAATTGTCCACGTCATCACACTACAAAATTATTCTAGGTACAGCAAGGGCCCAATCGGTGTCGAGCCCAAATTGGGAGAACCCAGTCCAGAGCAAGCCCAAATAAAGTCTTGGCTCCCATGTAAATCACAGACCCAGGCCACCCGGCCCACCTTCCAAGCCCGGACGTCAATATCCTGGAGCACCAAAGGTGAACTCTAAGCCCATTAGCTGATTCGTCTGGATCAGCCCACATTCAGCCCAATATTAATTAAAGGAAGACCAGTCCTGCTAGGCCAGGGAAAATCCTGTATGGAAAGAATTGTAAAAAGGAAAGGATTGTAATTGTAAAGAATATCGTATTTGGAATGGATTGGAGGACAAGCCATGCGAATCCTACCATAATCCCACCACCTTGTTTCTTATAAATAGAGGCTTAGACCTTCAATAAAATCATCGAACATTATATACTTATTTTCATAACAAACAAAATAAGGTATTATTTCATTTTTCTTTCTTCAATCCAACCAAACAAATAGAGATAAGGAAGAAAAAAAAAATGAGATAATACCATGCTTCATTAATCTCTTCTACTCTCTCTTACATCCAATTTTCTTTATTTCTACATAACAAAGCATTATATATATATATATACTTGTTTTGGGAATCCCTTCTGATTAGTCTCATTTTCTTTTAAAAATCAATGGTTCCAAACAACTTAAAAAAAAAAAAAAAAAGGTGAAATATATTTTAAGGGTTAATTTCACTGATACCCTCTCAGGTTTGGCCAAATATTACATTGAAATACTTTTTGAAAATTACTATCACTTACATTATAAACGTTTAATCTGTTTTTCACTCACACCCCAAAAGTTACTTTTCATTTGTGTCAAACAACTTTTTACATGTAAAAAGACCTTGTTACCCTTTTACTTTATGAAATTCCCCTTAAATTCTAAAAAATTATTTAAAAGACCAAAATGCCCCTATTTTTTTTTTTTCAAATGAAATAATTAGACCATCCAAAAGATAATATGTGTGTGTGTATCATGGCCATTCTAGAGTGTGTGTGTATGTGTGTGTGTGTGTATCATGGCCATCCAAAAGATAATATGTGTGTGTGTATCATGGCCATTCTATAAACGTTTGATCTATTTTTCACTCATACCCCAAAAGTGACTTTTCATTTGTGTCAAACAACTTTTTACATGTAAAAAGACCTTGTTACCCTTTTACTTTATGAAATTCCCCTTAAATTCTAAAAAATTATTTAAAAGACCAAAATGCCCCTATTTTTTTTTTTTTTCAAATGAAATAATTAGACCATCCAAAAGATAATATGTGTGTGTCTGTGTGTATCATGGCCATTCTAGAGTTTTTATTCTTTTTATTTTTTATTTTTTTAATTTTTTTTTTTTTGCATGCAAAATATTGTGATATTATTGATAGATTATGCTTTGCATCTACCATTCTTAACCATATGTAGTTGTGTATAATTCTTTTTATCAATACAAATATTGTTTTATAGTGGCGATCAAAGGAATAAAAATATCCAGCGATACCCATTTGCATTTATATATGTGTGTGTGTGTGTGTGTGTACACCATAACCATTTAATCCCAAAAACTGCTTTGCAATCCTTAAAACCAACCTCATTTGACTTCACACGGACGACCTCGAAATCCAATTGGGCATTTAAGAATCCAAGTAAAGCACCACAACCAACACCCAGATTGGAGCTTATTTAGAAGTAGGAAACCCCACATGTGTTATCCGAATTATGAACACCCAATTCTTTGAGAAATAAACTTCCATGGCAAGAACATTGCTAAAGAAAACTAAGTAAGTGCAAGAAAGCCAACGGTTTTCTTTTTGGTTCTGAGTTGGAAACAGATAAGAAATCTCTAGTTAGTGAATCAGTGAGTTTAGGTTCCTCAATTCACATAATTTCACCTCCTTGGGTCCATGGAAGCAATTCTAAAAAAACCTAATTTGATTTTGAAACTAAAAATTCACAAGATGGTTACGAAAAGGGCGAAATTGTTAATGGGTTTGGCAGAAACTTAGAAAAATATTAGTATAGTGTTGGCCAGGAATTAACGACGAATGTAAAGAAAAAGTTAAAATTAATTCGAACCTAATTAGGTTACAGGAGGACGAGGAGGCTGCAAACAAGGGCCGTTGTCTATGGTGAGAGAGTTGTCCTTAAACACAATGGTTAAGTGAGAGAAAGATGAGAGAGAATGAGGAGTGAGGTAGGTGGGGAGTAATAAATGAGAGGGAAAAATAGCCATTTTAATTACCTGATATTTTGTAATAAATGATATTAAAAAATTAAGGGCAAAATTACTTTTTCGCACAATTTTAAAGGTGTTAGTAATAAAAAAAAGTAAAATTAAACTTAAATGATAAAAATTTTTAAAAGTTATTTTAAAGTGATATTTTAATTAATAATAAAATTAACCCTTATTTTAAAATTCAATTCCTATGAAATCTCGAGTTCCAAACACACTGTTAATTATTTGTTAATTATTTGTTTTGCCCGATGGGCTTCTTGATGAAACAGGGTAGTAGCGAAACGACGTCGTTCGTAGGCAGATTGTCTTGCAAACCGTAATTGACCATTGACCTCCAATGGCAGAAGAACATGTCACGTAATCGCAGTGTGACTGTAACAAATCTCCTTTCTACTAACCCCATCATAGCTCACCACCTCGACGTCTCTTCAATTCCGCCAATCGCCGCCACTGCGTCACCGTATCGATTCCATGACCCTTCCACCTCAGCTAAAGCCACCGTCACACCAATAAACATTTCTAGTAAAATCACAATATCATATTCTAATTTCACACAAACAGCTTATTTAATTTCCATGTATTCAGGTCAAAATCTCTCCTCACTCTATTTTGATCGTCTAATCAATCATACTCTTATTCCTCATTCAAGCCTTAATTGTTTGACATTATCTTGAAAATTTACAGTTCGTAGATCAATGGCGGTCCTAGCGAACTCCTTGTCCTTAAAGCATGGACTCTCTCTCTGGTGTCCTCACTCTTCTTCCCTCAATCGACTTCATCAACCTTCTTCAATCTCATCTAGAAGCTTCCATGTTGCCGCATCGTCCTCTTTCGCCAATGACAACCGAGAGTGAGTCAATTTTTATTATATATATTTTTGAATTTGAACTATTTTGGATTTATGAATGGAATTGTAAGTGTTGGATTTGAGAATCGAGTGCAAGTTAAAATTTTACTCTATATATTCATATATATATATATGCTTGTGTGCGTGTGAGTGTGTTAATGTATTGTTGTATTTAAATTTGTTTGTTGTATCCTATGAAATGGAATTGTGAGTGTTGGATTTGATTATTGTAGGTTTGTGATAGTAGGGGGTGGAAATGCGGCCGGATATGCAGCTCGGACTTTTGTCGAACACGGGATGGCCAATGGAAAACTTTGTATTGTGTCTAAAGAGGTGACTGTTTTCGAATTTGGATATTGCAATTGCTCTTGTTTGATTTATTCTGAATTCGATTATGTTACGTTAATCATCACAGTTTTAATTTCAGTGTGGTTCACTATATGCAATTTCATGGTGTATTATTATTACAGGCTTATGCACCTTATGAGCGTCCTGCTTTGACAAAAGCTTATTTGTTCCCTAAGGATAAAAAGCCGGCACGTTTACCTGTAAGAATCAGTATTTTGTTTTGCAAATCTGTGATTTAGTTGCTGCTAAAGTTGAGTATTTTATTGGATTTATACTTTTAGAGAGGGACCTATTTAGTTTTTTTTACATTAAAACAATAGGTTTTGACCAACAACATTCTTGCATTTTGTTGATAATCTCTGTTTGGATGTTGGTGGTTATTATTGTACATTTATGGATCAAAAGTACAAACAATTTGATACAATTCTTGTGAAGATCGAATAAAATAATTAGACAGGTGTTTAGAATAATAGAGATTTTGTTATGCAATGTTCTTTTTGCTAGTCTTAGCAACATTGCATCTGATCTCACTGTTTGGTATTTCCATTATGTAAGGGTTTCCATACTTGTGTTGGATCTGGTGGGGAAAGGCAGACTCCTGATTGGTACAAGGAGCAAGGGATTGAGGTACTTTTATGGTTTTCCTTCAAAGTGTTCACCCTGTAATTTCTTTTTCCCATATCATTTCTTTTCCTTTTGCTCAATTGCAACTTTATCTCATGCAAAAGATATTCCAATCTTTTGAAGATGAGAATAATTCTTGTTTACCTATAGTTTGAAGGAAATGACTCCAACTCTATCTATAATTTTTTCTTGATTTTGGCATCCATCATCAACATTTTCATATTTACTTTTGACCATTACACGATGCTAGTTATGTCAACTCTAGCTGCTCAGATGTACCACATCTTTTGTTTGGTAACATAATCTATTCCGAAGGAAGCTCTTATGACTTTAAATTATTGCATATTGATTTTAAGACAAAGAAACGATCATTTTCTTCGTTAAATATGAGTTGCAAAATGTTGTTATAGCGACTTTAATTGAAAAAGCAACTTGATAATATGTAATTAGAATGGTGGAAAAACTGTGGTTTATGCTGTTTATAAGAGAAGTGGCTTCTTAATGCACAAGGAACCAGATTAGTACAAATAATTTGACATCCAACAAACCTAATAACCAACTGATTAATGGAACTGCAACTCAGAGTGGTATTGATGTCTGGATATAATGCATATACAATATGTTTGGCCGAGAATATGAAACTTGTTTTAAACTTATATAACATGAGTCTATAGCATACACTGAAATAGATTTGATCATTTGGATGAAGTACCCAATCTCAGACTACGAAGGTTATTTTCTTTTCCTTATTAAATCCTCAATTTGTCTTCTCTGATTTCCGTATCCCCCTAGCTGTCACTGTTTTCCTAAATTACTTATTTAATTTTATTTAATTTTATTTTATTTTTATTTTATTTTTTTATTTTTCTATCTTTTGTCTAGATGGTGTATGAGGATCCTGTAACAGATATTGATATTGAAAAGCAAACTCTAACAACAAATTCAGGCAAACTGCTTAAGTATGGATCTCTTATTATTGCCACAGGATGTACGGCATCAAGGTATGCTGAGCTGTTTTATTCGGTTACCAGTGGTTATTATTATACTGCTAAGACAGCTGTTGGATTATTCCCTTCAATATTCATTGTACCTCGAATGTTATTTTGTTTGATATGTTTGTGGTGCCAAGGAGACTGATTCTGGAGCAATGTTTAAGATACTTGATATGTCTAGCCATATATGCATTTACGTACACTCTCGTCTTTGTCACAAGATCCTTGTGCGTGCACAACACTACATGGGTATGAGTATGTAATTTACTAATATGTGTCCAATACACAAAATCAAATCAGACAAATGGATTCCTCTCATTTTTCATATGATGATGGAAGAAGAAAAACTACTTCTCAACATGGACAAATAGATAAAAAACAAAGAAAAAGAAAAATGAAAAAAGAACCAATCTGTGATGTTGTGGCCTGAATTTGGTGCCGGGTTGCGTTGCGACCCGTTTGATTAAGAAATTTTTTTGACCTGTGTTGCTCATGGGTCATGGACCCTAATTAGTACTTTCTTGTAGCCCAACACATAAGGGCGTTTAGGGTTTGGAGTGGGTGGTACAGAATTGAGACTAAGGGGCTAAAACTTGTAATCTCCTATTTTACACATAGTGAAGACTTTCGCCGGATCTCCACCGTGAATGTAGGCTTTGCTAAACCACGTATAAATCTTTGTGTTCTTTGCTTGGTGTGTTTATTTTTCTATCGTGTTTCGTAATTGTTGCTTGGTTCACTGCGTTTGTTGTAACAATCTTCACCTGTTTCATTTAATTTAAATTATAATTAAGTACATCCATGAATAATAACATCATAGATTACAATATTATATAACATAATTCAGGAAAAAAAAATTATATAACATATAATGTATTTAAAAGTGCAGTGACTTGTCTATGTATCCATAACTGTATGAATTTGTTTCAGGCTATGTCCTCGTATTACTGAGATTTGGGGTTTTACCATATGACTTTTGGCATTTGTGAATGCCAAAACCAACTAGTTTTATTTTTTACAATATCCTTTGTTCTTTCATCAGTCCCGATAGAGCTTTTTCCCTGCTCCAATTTACATTTTCTAGGTATAATATTTAAGATTTTATCTTTTTCAATTTATTTTTATTTTTTATTTCTCATCCAATTTGTTTTATCAAATTTACTTTTCCTGCTTTGGAAATGCTTTACCTGAGTGGTACCTGAGTTTTTTATGCCTTTGCATGGAAAATGTGTACTTCTCTTCAACGAAAGGCATACTAAAACAAAAATGGTTGTGCTTAAATTAAATGATATATATATATATATATATATATATATGCAAGTGTATATCAGCATGATATTCATGAATATTTGACTAAAGTTTTATGCTTAGGTTGATTGTGTGAAATTTGATGAAAGGTTGTGGTTGCTTATGTACTCAACTCAACATGCGTCAATTTCTACTACTTGGAATTGCCTACATGGATCTGACATCTGCAGTTGCATTGTGAAGCCTAACCATTGGGGTTGGCTAAGTGAAATTTGGGAAATAAGAGTTGTGGCATAACTTGACATATGAAATATAAGAGTTGTTCATGTCATAGTCAAGTGAATTTAATAAATCCGTTTTAGTGAAGTGGTTCCTTTGTACAATATTTACTCAGGCAAAATCTGAATTACTACAACTTTTACAGTCTTGTGATCATTATTGTGTTCCTTTTCACTGCAGAAAAATGTATTTTCATCATCATTTTATAATGCTGGTCAAAATCTAGATAAATGAATCCCATCTGCTTCAGGTTTCCAGAGCAAATTGGTGGAAACTTACCTGGTGTTCACTATATTCGGGATGTTGCAGATGCTAATTCGCTGATTTCATCTCTGGTAATTCTATTTCATTCTACGTACAAATCAAATTCGTCATTTTCTTCATTTCAATGTTGATTTATGCTTTCCATGCTAATAATTTGGAAAATGATCAGATATGTTTCTGGTATAAAATCTGAACTCTGAATAGTTAAATGCCCTTCAAAATAAGTAGTGAGTTCTTACTTGAGGTACCCTTATTCATTTTTAAGTCTATGTATATATGAGATAAATGACTTGACTTTGTAAAATTATATTCAAATCTGTTGGCTTAGAGCCTGGATTATTTTATGGAAAATAGCTTGCTACTAAAACTCATACCTTGTTGAATCTAAATTCATTTCCTTTTGATTCTGTTGTAACGCTCAAGACAACTCTGTTTTCTTTTGAACAGCAGCCAAACATGAAGAAAATCAAAATTGACTTGTTTCCACCAAACAAAGTTGTTCTAGACTTCTAGTCGAAGCACACATTGTGTCAACAGAGATAATCGAATTTATTGACCTCCCCCAGATGAAACTTTCAAAAAGATATGGTCAACTTCCCCTGAGCCTGAAGTTTTCATGAAAATACTCTGGCCTCCTCTGCCATGAAACAATAGTTAGGGCTGTTTGACAATTTTGTGTGAAAGTCCAAAACTACTCTTATGGTAAATAAAATGACATAACTGACCTTACAAAAATTGAAGAGTGACAAATTTTAGCTCTCTTTTGGACAATAATACTCTTCCAGATTGAAATCCCTTCTATTATTTTAACATCCCTGTTTTATCTCTCTCTCTCTCTCTCTATGCTAGCTCTCTAACTATGAAGCTGTAAGACCAACTCTCTCTCTCTCTCTTTATATTATGGGTCCCATAACTGATATTTTGCTAGAATAATACTACCTTTGTCCCATTTTAAATATCCTCTTTGGGAACTGCGACTCATTGTGAGTCACAGTTCCCAAAGAGGACATTTAAAATGGGACAGAGGGAGTATGAAATTGACTTTTTCACTAATAACCCATAATGCCATCTTCGATCTAGCTCTCATTTGAATAACTTTTAACTTCATTTAATTCTTTGTTAGTCCAGAAATGTGGGAATTTTGAGTTTGGTGGCACTGACTCGGTACGTGTGTCGGGCTTGGGTATGTATCCGTGTCAAACATATCAAATCCTCAAACAGAATGATACTAGGACATTGCTAAATATTCCTATTAACTAATGTTTTCATTAATTTTATAGAGTAATTTTTTTTATTAATTTTTTATTTTATTTTTTATGTTACGTAGTGTTTAATAGAGGCATTTCACTCGTTTTGAAGCAATAATTTAATAAAATTGAATCATTGGATATTCCCTTTTAGGTGCATGTCTAACCAAAAGTGTCAGACACATTTTATACCCATGTCCCTGTATTGTGTCCGACAAGGGTGCTTCAACCAAATTCCATGTATATTGCAGATTCTGTGGTCGTAGCTGAAGATGCAAGAAATTCTCTCTCTCTAAATTGACAGAGTTTCATTACACCTCAAATATTTCGATCCCCTTTTTCCCTTCATTTTTCTTCTATTTATAGATTGTTTACAATGTTCTAGAAGATCCTTCACTAATCTCCTCCATTGGGCTTATCATCGAGGCTTTTGTATCAATGGATCCGTTCAACTTTCAGGCCTTCAGCTTCACTCTTCAGCATTGGGCTCGCCTTATGTGATACCCCCGAATTTCCGAATGCGGGTTGGCCAGGCCCACGCCCGAATACCCGAGGATATCAAAACAAATTGATAATAAACGAACACAGAGTACAAAAGAATAAAGAAGAATAAATAAAATGCTGACAAGAAACTAAAATGATAATCTAATAATAAACCTCATAATATATTTCCATTAATTAATAAGCTCTTCTGATACAACTGATCCTCCAAAATACAACTCGGGAATCCATACTGTGTGGACCCCTAGAAAATCCAAACTAAACAAATGACAATAATCTAAAACAGGAAACTGAATCATAAAGGAACTCCTATGTAGCATCGGAAGAATGAAGTAGACTGATCCCCGCTCAGCACGAACAACCTCTACTCGTGACGAACACCTGAAAAATAATGGTGGGTCAGGCCCACAAACAAGTTCTACTCTACTACAGTCCAAGCAGAGATCCGATACACGTATACATCCTAGTCAATCCAACAGTAACTAGTAGTCCGTATATATATATATATACACGCTAAAGGAATCTCACTAGACTATAGGGTTGTCTCAACCTGAATAGTAGGCAACATGCAAAACGCACATATAGTGGGCATGAGTACCTAGACCTACCAGGGTACACAACTACACTATATCTAGCTACACATCCCTGGCGATATACGCGCCCTAACCATTGATCCTGAGACTCAAGCTCATATCATGACACCATACTTATATATATAAAATCTAGTAACCATCCTATCCAGTATAAATTAATCCTCCATAAGTCATTCAACTTGTTCAGCTGACCTGACTTGAATATAAGTAGGACTTAACATTTTAGTTAATCCATTCCCTTATATAATAAATTAATCATCCATAAGTCATTCAATTTGTTCAGCTGACCTGACTTAAATATAAGTAGGACTTAATATTTTAGTTAATCCATTCTCTTATATAAAATAGGTAGGACTTAACTAATAAGTTAATCTATCCCTAGAATGCCACCGTCCCATACCGGTGCATTAAACCACACAATCCAACAATTGATGTAACAATTAAGGAAATACATCAAACATTCCATAAATAACTATGATAAATATGATATCAAGTTATCACATAATAGGAATGACTTATTATTTCTTTAAACTTCCTATATCATATGTCCTACACAAACTGAATCTTATACATGATGATATTTTTTTATACCGTTAAATACGGATTCTCCATATCCAATTCATCCTACACATTTAATCTCAATTGCTAAAATATTTTAAAAGATTAAATCCATTCGTTTATTTAAAACATTCAAATAGCAAGCATCATTATGATTGAGTCTATTTAAATTTATTAAAACCCAAACCTAATCCCTATTTAATGTTCAGGAATCTTAGACATGTTTCTACGTTCCATCATTCCACAGATATGAAAAATACATAATTTAAACATGTAAAAATTCATATAAGATATCAAATCAAAATCATGCATTTTATCAATTCATAACACAAGAACAGATATGAACCAATTTCATAAAACTTATGTTCTAACCCAATTAAATATGCATAATTATTTAATTTTATGTGTTTAATAAATTCTGGAATTTCCTAGGCATGTACAGAAACACGAATCAAAGGGAAAGAGATAGAAGAAGAACTTGCCTTAAACTTTCGGATCGAAAGTTAAACTTCTTCTTCCTTGATCTTCTCTCTATAGGGTTTTTCTCCTCATTCCTTCCTTTTCCTTCTTCCCTCTCTAACACTATCTCTCCAGTATATATCACGTGAATATTTCTAACCCCTTTTTACAACCTATAGCTATATATTTATAGGCTAAATAAAATAACTCTAACCCTTTTCCCAATCCAAGTCAACTAAAAAAAATGAAAATAAAAATATTAAAAAGGTAAGCAAAATATGTTACGTATATAATTTATGTATATGTTTATTAAATAAATAAATTATACACATTCCATTATTTATTAATGGATTATCCAATAATATTTAAGTTACCATAATATTATAAAGTAACTTAAAACATAACACGTATCAAATCTATGTATATTTTTATTATTTAAATAAACATATACATCAGATTAAATATTACTACCCAAATTACCATAAAAGTAATTACTAAATTACTTTCCTTTTTATATATGTATATAATATATATCTATATATATACATACATTATCCATGGGTAATAATCCATACACATCCAACCTCCTATCCAAGTAGTCCATGGGACCCAATTGGTTGGCCCATTACTACTAACCATAACCATAAAAAAAAAAAAATAAAATAATAAAAGAAAAGAAAAGATTTAATTTACAATTAAAACAAATAAATAAATACCGAGACTATCCTTTTAAAATTAGGGGTATTACACCTCACAAACAGCTTGATTTGGGCCTAGGTCATTTGCCTGGCCCATTCTTCATCATGTGGGTTAGATCCGGCCCATGCCGCCTTTGGTATCCTCAACTGCCCCCATAATCACTCCCTTATTAATTAGGGTGTGATTATCAATAGACCTAATGATGACTTGACGGCTAATGATGATTCGATGGCTCGAGACGATCACGTGGGGCATCAAGCGGTCGGCCTCGGAATTAATGTCTTTGAAATTTGAATCTCCTTAACTCCCTGATGTCTCGGTTAGTGGGACCACTTCCCCTTTACATACCATTCTTTCATATCCACATCTTCCCTTGTCGTACCCCTCACAAATCATTGTCAATCGATCTCAGTTCGTTCTCTCATGGCAACTTAGATTTTTCTTGTCAAGTTAGGTACTCTCCGGCGAGTTCAGTGAAAGGTTCTTCTCCATTCTTTTGCAATATCCCTTGCTGATCTTCATCTTTTCAAGGTTAGTTATGTTTCTTCTTCTTCTTAAAGTATTTGCACATTTTCCCCCAAGGATCATAATTGTCAGCATCATGCCTATAAATCTGGATATTCTGCGTATGAAGCTCCATCTCCCTTCTGATATTCACCTTAGAGAATGTCCTAAAGACGTTAATGTCAGAACTGGTGCTGGTCTTCTTCCCGACGAAGTCTTGTTTTCCCTTCATCACCTTAACATTATTAGATTCCCCCTTCATCCTTTCTTCTGCTATGTGTTCAATAGGTTGAAACTTTCTCCTCTCCTAGTTAACCCCAATTTCTTTAGGGTTCTGTCCGTTCTGTTGCTTTTAAATCGTGACAGAGGCCTAGATCTTGACTTGATTGATCTTATCCTCTGTTACAAGGTTAGCAAAATCCGGCTAGAGGATGCATATTACCATCTTTTCCCTCTTGAAAAGAAATCCATCTGTACAGACAAGCTTAATTTCGAAAAGGGTTGGAAAAA